GAAGCAGTTACACTGAAAAAAAAAAAAGAAAAGTCTTAATAGAAAAAGAGAATTAGACAAATGAAATTAATATTAAAATAATTCCTACAGCTTTTTTGGGTTGATCTTTACATTACGGTAACTTGGCGTTTTTTTGGCGAAAATTTGGCGACCAACTCTCCTACAACAACCCTCTTTTTTTTTTTTTTTTTTTCCCCGCCGCCATGTTTCTTTTCTTTTATCTACTGAACACTTCTTCCAAAACAATCTACTAGCCGAATTACACTTATGCTAGAAATTTTATCTAACAAAACTACTTAATCATGACAAATATTCACTGCAAAATTGGGAAAAAGTGCCACAATACCATACTCCTTACGCGTTTTTCAAAATAACACATACACATAAACCATGTACACGCCGACTTATTTTTACTTAAAAAAAAACATCCCAGAATTGCACAAAAATGGCATTGCGCACACTCTTCACTATATCCATGTACACTGCTTTTTTTCTCATAAATTTAGAAAAATTTCACGAAAATACATGACAATTTTCTCAATCTTTAAACCCGGTAAAAAGAACATATATGAAATTACCTGATCGCGAAAAAAGTATTTACCCTTTACAAATATGAACATTTCCACATATAAAAATAAATAAAATATCCAAAAACTTTTACCTCTAAATCATCCATTACATTATACACGTCTACCGCAAGCATTACAAATACTTAGTATCAAATATTTAAATTATTTCCATGCACGTTTACTTCACTTAAACGTATACCAAATTCCTACAAACATAAAATTCACAAATAAACTATCATTTAATTAAAATATCACTAAACCATGTACACATCGACTTATTTTTACTTAAAAAAACATCCCAGAATTGCACAAAAATGGCATTGCATCTTTAAAACCCGGTAAAAATTAAAAAGAACATATATGAAATTACCTGATCGCGAAAAAGTATTTACCCTTTCCAAATATGAACATTTCCACATATAAAATAAATAAATATCCAAAAAACTTTTACCTCCAAATCATCTATTACATTATACACGTCACCAACAAAATTCATACCGCAAGCATTACAAATACTTAATATCAAATATTTAAATTATTTCCATGCACGTTTACTTCAACTTAAAACGTATACCAAATTCCTACAAACATAAAATTCACAAAATAACTATCATTTTTAATTAAAATATCACTAAACCATGTACACGTCGACTTATTTTTACTTAAAAAAACATCCCAGAATTGCACAAAAATGGCATTGCGCACACTCTTCACTACATCCACGTACACTGCTTTTTTCTCATAAATTAGAAAAATTTCACGAAAATACATGACAATTTTCTCAATCTTTAAACCCGGTAAAAAGAACATATATGGAATTACCTGATAACGTATACCAAATTCCTACAAACATAAAATTCACAAATAACTATCATTTAATTAAAATATAATTAAATTCAAAAAACACTACTTAAATATAAATGAGCACATATATTAAATTAATAAAAATTACCTTACAATCCTAATTACTTTAAACTAAATCATTGCTAATAACAATTTTCCCAATAATACCAAATTCCTTTACTGCCACCTTACATTTAGAACAATGCATAAAAATAATATCCTCAAGTAATTAAAAATACTAACTTACCTAATCTTCTTCAGAATCTTGATTACGTGTCCAATAAACTTTTCTTTAGTTATGGCCATGGTATCCAAAAATTCACGAACACTGTTTCACACAACACAAAATAAACGAAATACAAAATTTCCAGATTTTTTCCCGATTTCCCCCCTTTTCCGATTCAAGAACCGTAATTCGTCCATTAATATCAAATGACATATCCCATGATCTCTCATTTCCCTCACACAAAATAATGCGTAATCGGAACTGAGTACTGCTCACATTATTACCAAAGTCCCAGGTAGTAACCTTTATCGCCTCCAAAATGTCGCCAAACTACCAGTTACCATATTGTAAAGATCAACCCTTTTTTGTTTTGCTCAAAAATAATTAAAAAGTTGCTTTTTTACGACATTTGTTACATTGTTAGATGTCTGAAATCATTTTATTCAAAAACAGACAACGTGAAAAATAAGCTTTTTCAAAAGATGACAGCGATGCCCAACAAAATAATTCATATTACAAAAACAGGAGATCTTGTTTTTCATGAAATAAAGAAGATGAATACAAGTAACCCAAATACCTTCCAAAAGTATGCATAAATACAAATTTGGTGAATAACCATTAATGCTAGGCAAATTTTTGGTGCTTTACAAAAAAATGTAAAAAAATTCTAAAAAATGAATTTTACATCATAAAACTAGAAGTTTGTAACAATATTCAGGTGGAAGTTTTTATAAAAATTGCGAAAATTTCAGAAAAGTTAGCACATATTGATCAACTTCATGCAAGTAATGTTCTATATCTATACTTTAAACATAGCAAAATGTTTCATACCAGTTTCAAACATTTTATGCTGCACAGGGAGATATTTATCATGTCTGCATATGCAATACATACATTTTCATATAATCAATGATGCTCTATAACTCTGTAATTGACTTTTTTTCTGTATCGTTCAGTTTTTCTTAAATAAGTAGTGAAATTCTGATTTTAAAAGATAGACTCATTGCATATGGTCTCATTCATTATGGCTAATTGTAGCTGGCTGTGTTTGGTAGTTATTTAGAGAGGAATAGAATTTCCTATCTACCCTGCATATGGTAATTATGACACTTGTGAAAGTGAATTCATACTAGGCTATATTAATTCTAAATAGCAAATTTGATTATCTACTAAAACATCTTGAATTTGGATCAATAACTTGTATGCTATTTATCGAGTTGTAAATATAAATTAATAAGCATTAATGTTTAAGGTGCAATTATAAAATTCTCCAAAAAAATTTCTCATGCACATTTTTCCATAGTTTATTTAAGCGTTTAAGGTTTACTTAATTAACAAGGCATTTTATGTTAATATTTTTTATATGTTCTACTTTTCAACTGATGTCACCAAAAAGTAAATTAAGTTTAGCTTTAACAAAGTGTAATCAACATTAATAAGTAAAGTGTAAATTGACAATACTAAGTCAGCTGTTTATCCTACAAAGTAGTACTTCGAGCTGGCCAGAACGAGTTGCTGTTCAGTACAGACAGTCAGACAGTGAGCTGATTTGTATGTTTCCAGCTTAGCATTAGCCAAAGGTGAATTATAGTGTAGCTGAAGCTTGATAGACATAATTAAGACACAATAACACGCCGAACAAATACTAATTCAGAAGTCAAACAACAAAAATCAGCATTATATTTTCAAATTATACAAGTATTAGTAAATAAATATTTAAACTTTTTTTATCTACTGTATAGCACTGAAGCTCATTTTAAGTTTGCAAAGACTATAATTTGTCAGAACAAGATAAGATTGGGCAAGTAAGAAAAAGTTGAGTTAGATAAATCTTACTACTTCATCTTAAATTAAGCAATATAAAATTTGACTTTTGTTTTAGAATTTAACCGCTTCCCTTACAAATTTTTTTGAAAAAAATTGCAAAAAATCATCACATTTTTTTATTTTATTATTAAATACAGAATTTATAACAGAATCCTACTAGAATACAGGAGGACAGGGAACACTGTCTCATTGGATTTGATTGTTGTTTGGTAGCAGGAATAAAATCTGTAAAATACGTTGAGGTTATAATCACTAACTGAAAAATCATTGCTTTCGCTATCTTGCATCATATCATCGCCATTATTTTACTTTTTTCACCTATCATTCTTTATATATTACTAATCCACAAGCCGACGTATACTAGACAATAGGGAAAACATGTGACCAGACCGGCCAAAAGAACCGCAAATCCAACAAAACTTGACAAACTGCCAATAAAAGCTGAATATTTCCTTTCATTTCCTCCAGGCCGAGTAAAACCGTGATAAAACAAATCGTACTGACAAATTCTGCTTCGCCCGAGTTTTCTCGGTATAATTATTAACTGCAATATATACGAACCCGGGATAACTCAGGATAATCAGGCAAGCGGTTAATACCCAGTTTGCTTTGAACTAAATTTATTTATGTTAAGGATAATTATGGATAATTTAGGAACTTCTTACTTTTTTGTATAACTCTCTAGCACCTTTACCACTTTTATATATATATATATATATATATTCTTTAATATAGCAATACCCCCTCATTTACCAATGCTTATTTCGTACTGCATAAAAAGTTGCACAACTTTTGCTGTATGCATTATAAATTTGATATGCATGAAAATCTCAGATCATATGAATTTGGCAAATAAAAACTTCAAAATGAACAAACATTGTCCTTGCTGAGGTTTGAATCATGTTTCAATGTTTTTTTTTTTTTTTTTTTTTTTTTTTTTTTTTTTTTGCTTGCTAGCTGGAAGTGCTGACCATTAACCCTAAAAGAGATATATGGAAGAATGCAATAATTGCAACAACTCTAGAATAAAACATATTTTATAATGCACTGTTGTGTAAAATATTTTATTGTAGCATTATTTAATGTTAATACCCCCCTTCCGAACAGCAGGCTTTTTTGTCTTTTTTCAACACTGGCCACTCCTAAGGCAGAAGGTGGTGGCCATACCATTGCAAAGGGACCCAACAAGCAGCCACCGTTACCTCCTATGAATTGGTGCAGTTATAATCATGCTTTCTCCGGAATTTAAACCGGGGATCTTGACAGTCAGCTTCACTAACCACTATACGTCTGGAAGACTTAATGTTAATAATGTCCTACTTATAATTTATTAACTAAAGATAACTTAATTATGTATCTTATAGGAATATCCTTTTTTGTATACATTCACTATAATCCACACAGAAGGTTGGAATATAATATGTCGGGGTACTATTATAAATAAGTTACATCATAAATTTTGCAAATAATGAAAAATTGTGCATGTTTTACTTCATATAACAGTAATAATTAAAAGAAAAATTATAAGTAGATACTTTTTCTTCTTCTGTACTGCTGAAAGTTGAAGAATCACTATGGTGCCTAAATCCTCGATACTCTTTCATAGGGGTTGAACCACAACTATTCCAAGCAGACTTCTTGGCAGACTTTGGAGGTGAATCTACATAAAATGTAAATAAATTAAATTAAAAATATGGATTGAAAGTCAGTCACACTAATGTAAAAAATTAAACTGATAGTTTACCTACAAATGACCCTCTTACTCTGCCAGGGGTACTAGGAACTGATTCCGAAAGTGCCCGGTCTTGCGTATTTAACTGAAACAAATGTACTGTTAAAAGAATTTGCATAAATCAAATACAATAAATCTGAGAATGGACATGTGTTGCTCTAATAAAATGAAATTTTGATCAACTCTTTAAAAAATAAAAATGCATTACCTCAAGAACTGCATTACATAATTTGGATGCATAAATTGTGCAGTTTTAATTATGAATGACCATTTTTAATACAATATAAAATGATTATATGTTATCAGGTTCTCTAAAAATTCATTCTGCAGATAAGAAATTGTAAACTAAAATTCAATAAAATTATTTTTTGTTGCCAGCAATTTGCGCAGTACTTCGTAAAATAACAGATAATATATTCAAGCAAGGTCTTCCCGTCTTTCTGCGAAAATTCTTTTTCACTGATAGACCTGTTTAAAAAATTTAATATGCTATCAATGAAATATCAAATTTGTTAAGAAAGGTTTAGAAGTTAACTGAGCTTATATTTAAGAATCCTCTTATAAGTATTTTACAAAATATTATGAAACAAAAAATGACTAACTTATTGTCCAAAATAAAGAAAGAGGAAAAATGTATCATGTTAAAAATATGGGTATTTATGTATTATCTCATAGCCCGCAAAAGTTGCCTATCATCAAATTATGGAAGTTGACAAAGATTCTCCCAAAGTTGGGACATCCATTCCTGTTGAATTTTGAACCACATTCTTATCTCCAACTTTTACAAATAAAACATAGTTAATCCCTCTACACAATCCATCAAACAGGCATTGCTGTAGAAGTATTCAACCATCTTATTTTCTGTGCTTCATAAAAGGCTTTCGTCAATTTCTATTATTTTGCTAAGCTCTCCGATTTTACCAAAAACTGTGTTCAGAAGATTATGGGTACAACTTCCTGCATGTGACTGTTCTAATCTATTATTGATTCGCCAACCAAATCTAGCTGTTTTTCCCAACTTTCAATAGATGTTAAATCTTTTTTTCAGCTAGCTGTAAATGAACTGGAGTTCAATTAGAAATTCTACAGCCCTTAGAATCATTTTTTTTATCAAAATGCAAGGGAAAAATACAGCAATTATAGTTAATTTATATCCTTGTTCATAAAAATAAATGGTGACTTATTGAGAATCAACTGGTGTTACACCAAATGAAAGGGCAGATTACGAGTGTTTTATTCTTCATACTTATCCATAACTGGCCCTAAATCACGCTGCTTTGCAACAGTTTCATAGTCGACAAAAAAATATGCCAGAAACAAAATATGCATAAACACTTTCTATCCAATTTCTGCCTTTAGAAATCCTTAAAAGATAGGTTCATAGCGTTTTTCCGATAATTTTGAGTTTGGAAACAACTATCCAAACTCAAGTGAAATATATCTTGTGCTAATATGGTTTTTGATAAAACTTCTCACATAATTTTATGTCATTTTCCATTTTTAGATAAATGGAATATTAATGAATTAACTGCTATTAGGAACTCTGGCAGTTCATTAGGTATAAGAACTTTGGCAGTTAATTAGCTATTAGGAACTCTGGCAGTTCCAAGGTTTTATGTCAGTTTACCAATAAATATTTGCCTCTTCATTGCCCAACGCCATCAGCCTTCACCATCTCCTTTCAGCCATGAAAACTGAGACTTAATAAGTAATTATCCAAATTTAGCTAACAGAAATGAGATACAACGAAATGAAATGAAATGAGATTTAACTACACGAGAAGATCCAAAAAGCTAAGCAAAAATTACACTTCATGAGTAGATCCAAAAAGCCATGTCAGTCAGAGGGTTAAATACATACATTATTTTTGTAAATAAATTAATTTCAGTAATTTCAAAAAGTATTTGCTAACTATTTAATGTTTTATTAATTTTAAAATCTAAGAATGATATGTATAATTTATAAATAAAATGTATACACATATGTATTCAACATTTTCCCCCTAGTTTCTATCAACATTTGATTCAGAAACTTAGGATTTATAGAACCAATGTAAAAGCTATGCAGAAATAGAAGAGCATTTTGTATAAGTAAGAAGAATATTATTGAAATTGATAAGGTCTGAAATACACAATATAATAATAATAGTGCATCTTGCGCAGTTTTAATTATTCACATGTGCTTTCTAATGTTTTATGTTTATCATTTATGTTGTCTGTTTAGGAACAGTATACACTGCATATTTTTCTCCTCCTGGTTTTCAAGCAGAAAAATTGGTATGAAAATATGAGAGAGAATGAGAAGAATATTCAGCATGTTATTACTTATTCTTTATCATTTTGGCAGACTTTTTCTTTCCCCAATGCACAAAAAGCATGTAGAAACTTGTTCTTAGACACAAAAATTTTAAAAACATGTTAATAGTTCAGTGATATTTCAAAATTATATATAAACAGAGAGCATAATAAAGAACCATCCGAAAGAGTTCAAAGATTGATCTTTAAAGTAAAACATACCTTTTTCCTGAGCTCTTTTATTATGGTTTCTTGTTCTGATACTTTTTCTTTTAAAGAATCTAATTCAAAAGACTGGTAATCTTGAGTGCAACTAGCTGGAATAAAATTAATATACAACAGTTTAACACAAGTATAATAAATTTATATTTCAAAACAGAGGATTTAATTAAAAACTCTCATACAAAGGCAATCTTTTATCGTGCAGAAATTACAAAATTCACTATTTATAATCCACTATTTTACAAGTTTTACATGATCTTAGTCACAAAACTTTTTTAAAAGCCTCATATTTTGTATTTTGTGCAGTATTAAACCCTGAGCACCCACAAAAATGGCGCATTTAAATACCATTTACTAAACAGATTTTGAAAATTACTGATTTTCCTTCCCTTTTGTTCAAATAAAAGCTCTGGACCACTAAAATGTTGTCTATATAATTAAGGAAAATAAAGCAAAACCTTCTAATGGAAAAAGGAATAGACACTATGTTGGGAATGGCATCACTACAGCAACGAATCAAACGCCAGACAGAGACTGACGTCATGAGATGCCAGAGAAAAGGACAAGTTGCAGTTCAGAAAGCTAAGGACAATGTTTGCACAATATAGTTAGATAGCTATTTCTTATTCATTTAACTTGTACATAAGTGTAAATAAACCTTTTCCTTAAGTTTAAAAGATTTCAAGTGCTCCATTTATGATAAGATAGTTGTTAATTCATCGGGTAAATGACTTATGAATCCATTCTGAGTTAGCCATTGTTTAAAAGATAACGCATTGTGTAACATAATATTTGTGGCGCAATACAGCTGATATAAATTAAAAATGGAGCTTACGCAACTGAAAACTGAACGGAAATGTCTAAGAACTTCCTTTACCACATGTGCAAACAAAACTGATGCAGAACTGAAATCAGATATTCATGACTTCAAGTTACTTTCGGTTCTGAAACTGCAGTTTAAAGACAGGTTTAATAGACTTGAAATTTTCCAAAAGGAAGTAACAATGATAATTCTTCAATCTAAAGATTCTGAAAAGCTATATGAAAAAGATTTTACTTCATCTCAGCCTCATAGAGATAAATATTTTGAACTGTGTTCTCAAATAGAAAAGCTGTTGAAGAATCCTTTACCTGCTGAATTACCAGATAAGCACAAATTTAAACTGCCAAAGATTGAATTAAAGAAATTCAATGGCGAAGCAAAGGAATTTTTGACGTTTTGTGGCCAGTTTTCGAAGATCGATGAAGATCCGACAATTCCAGATGAAGATAAATTCCAGTACCTTCTGCAAGCAGTTGTTCCTCAGTCAAGAGCCGCAAGAGTAGTGGAAAGTTTTTTGGCAACAGCATTGAATTATCTGAAAGCAATCGCCCAGCTTCAAGAGAGTTTTGGAAGAGAAGACTTACTTGTACAGATATACGTAAGAGATCTTCTAAGCATGGTTATGCATGATGCAAGTAGTTTATTTAATGACTAATAGTTAAAATTAAATTTAAGAATATTGAGCTTAAAGTATACACAATACTGGATACAGCTTCTCAGCATTCGTATCTCCGTAAAAAATTAGTAGAGAATTTACAATTAAAACCATTAAGGCAAATTAAATTGAAGCATCTGTTAATCAAAGGGGGGAGAGAAATGCAAGCACAGATTCACGATGTTTATAATGCCCATTTCGGCATTAGATGAATCTTTCTCCTTTCAAATCAAAGCACTATCAGAGAGCAAAATTTGTGGCACACTGCCAAAAGTGAACAATAGTAAAATTCTTAATGCACTGAAAGATAGAGGCATCAGTTTGTCTGATTTGGGTTCCTCAGATCATGAGATCGGTCTGCTTTTGGGAGCAAATATTACCGGTGCTTTATTTACTGACAAACCTGTTCGGTTGGAGTCAGGATTATTTTTGATTCAGACTTGTTTGGAACATGTGTTAACTGGGAAGCATGAGTCATTTGGAGATAATAATGATGATACTGTTTTTAATATAATTTTGTTGTATGTTAGTAATTGTTCGATAAAAGATTTATGGTCTTTAGAATCCATAGGTATAATAAAAAGAATTTAGAATATTCTAGAGTTTTGGAAGATTTTAAAAATAATGTGAAAATTCTTTCGGACGGTAGATATGAACTTTGTTTACCTTTTAAATTTGATATGGCCGATTTGCCAACAAATAAAGATTTAATTTAAAAGTGGCATAAAAGGATGTGCCAGCGAGCACAAGTTAAAGCATTTTTAGAAGAATATACTACAATGTTTCGGGAATGCGAAAAATTGAATACAGTCAAAAGTCGTTAATCTGGACTCGTCGGGACTTCGGCGATTCCGGATTATCGCTTTTTCTGGATTATAGATCGTCAGTTAAATAAATCTGTAAGATGGCATGCAGAAATTATAAAATTAAAAATATGAAACGTAATTTATGAAATAAAGAACAATTATGATCTAAAGGTATCAAAATTTACAAAAAAAAAAAAAAAAAAAAAAAAAAACTTAATATTTATTTGTTTACTTTATTAAACATTTCTTTCAATGTAAGTTGTTTGCTTCATTTTATGTGATAATACTTTCTCTTTAATTCTATACACAGACATAATTTCTTGTTCAGTTACAGAGTTCCGCTGTTCAAGTCCTATAATTGCTGTGTCGAGAATACTGACTAATTTGTCAATCGAAATTTTTTCGTTTTCAATAACTTCTGTGTCACTTTCTTCACTATCGGAAGCAAATTATAATGACGAGGAATTTGATTTAAATCATAACAAAGACGGAATATACGAGATGAAATACTACATTTAGTAAGGAATTATAAGCCAAATAAAATTAAAACATCTGCCCTGAAGATGAGGATAACGCTGACAGATCAACTTCCAATTCATTGCGCGCCGTTCCCCCCATCCCCCGCCGCAGAGCAGCGTGAAATTGATAAACAGATTTTGGAATGGTTAGGTCATTTTTTGCAGCAATTCACTTTTGTTTAATGGAGTTCGAAACATACTTTCACTTTCGTAGATCTTTTACATATTGGTAAATATATATCGAAAATTCTATTTGACATAATCGAAAGTTCAAGCTTACTTTTATAAAAGTGCTCTAACAGTCTGCAAAAAAATAATAAGCCGGATCCAATTCGAAGATTAAGGAACAACGCAATCTGCAACATTAACTGAATTAGATAATTTTAGCTTAGCTTACACCGTCCGTTTTACATTAAACAAGCATGCGTAAACGTATTTTGCGCACGCGCACATACCTATTCACAGCCGTAAAGGTCTTACGTGCATGTGTCAACGTGACGCATGCACAGAAAGTTTGTAGCTTTGAGGTCCGGATTATAGATCATTCCGGATTATGGGTGTCCGAATTAACGACTTTTGACTGTATAATTGAAAAGGTAACTGATAATATTGACACGGGGCATTTTTTACCTCATGAAGATGATGTTGATGTTAATGATGACAACGACAATGATGATGATGGTAATGGCAGTCATGAAGCTAATGATGATGATCCATTCATGAAGAATAATGAAGAAACTATGCAAAATCAGCTGAATCAATTTGAACAAGGATGTGCTGATCATGCAAATGAGAAAACACCTGCTAAAAGTGCAGAAACTCCCAAAGAACAGAAACATAATTCAAGGAAAATACTTATCTCTGACATTTCAGCTGACACTAATTTATCACCTGTACATCCAAATGCTACCATCAGTTACATACAGGAAAAAGATTCAGTTGAAGCTTTTGAGACAACAAAGAATGCTGAAACATCAGGAACAAAAATTACCGTTTCATATTCTTCAGCCGCTTCACATCCAAAGAAACGCGAGAAAAGGAGCCTGAAAGTATAAACGGAGAAAATTTAAATGGACTTCAGTATAGGAAACGCCGAAAATACAAACTTGAAGACCAAAGGCCATTCCAACTTGGACTTCGACTGAGACTTAAACTTCCCAAATTCTTCAATCCTTATGAGACAACGAAAGTGATCCCTCTGATTGTTACAAAGTACGAAAGATACGCCATGAAGGCACCCTTATTCTGTCAACCTCTGCTGATCAGATGAACAGGTGATGCACAAAGTTAACATTCACCTTCTGGACATTGATTTTTTTTTCACTTTCCCCCCTTCTTTTGAGATCGAAGCCGATCTCCAGACCCCACTGATGTTTCCATTGTATGTGACAGTTCTAAGACTAGAAAGGCATGATGAGAACTATTAAGATGCAACTAATATTGAAATTGATAGACTTGAATGTTTTGAGTAGCTATCCAAAAAAGGGGATGATGTAGGGAATGGCATCACTACGCCAACGGATCAAAGGCCAGATAGAAACTGATATCACGTGACACCAGAGAAAAACGAGGAGTTGCGATTCAGAAAGCTAAGGATGATGTTTGCACGATGTAGTTACATAGATATTTCTTATTCATTTAACTTGTACATAAGTGTAAATAAACCTCTTTCCTTAAGTTTAAAAGATTTGAAGTGCTCCATTTATGATAAGATAATAATTAATTCATCGGGTAGATGACTTATGAATCCTTTCTGAGCTAGCCATTGTTCGAAACGTAATGCATTACATAATGCACTGTGTCCATAGAAATCCTTATCCAACCTTTATTTTGGCAACCATTAGTTGTAGACATATACTTCCACAAAAATATTTTAAATTACACAAATATTCTTAGCATTTTTGTAAATTTAAAGAAATCAATTTTGTAAAAATTACGAAAACTAACATTTTATATATTCTTTTGGACCTTATTATTAAGCTTAGAAAAATTTATATTACATATAAAAAAATTTTGCACTTATTACCAAAAATAAAGCACAAAAAGCTTGACTTCCATGCGACAAAATTGGATTTAATTTCAAAATTTGCATATATATATATTTGATATATTTAATTAAATTTAATTGAAGGGTCAGATAATAAATAAATTAGAATACTTCAAAGTTGATTTTTTCCCCTAAATGTCATTTAATGATACTGTAGTGATTTACTAGTGTCCTTACTTTAATAATTTTGTAACATTTAGTACGCTGAAAGAATTTTCACACAAGTAATTTATAAGTTTTTAAAGTCTAAAAATACATTATTAATATTCTCATGAAATTTTATTACTTTAGAATTATAATCTGGAAATCATACAAAACAATTCTTTAACTACAAAGATTTTTAATTTTTAATTAATACAAGTAGCATTATGAGTTTGCTGAAGCCAATACTGAAGCCCATCAATGTTTCCTAGAATGCAAATTCTTTAAAACCCTAAGAATAAGATCTTCATTTTGAGGGGAGGGGAGGATTTGATAAATACTTTTCACAATAATCTGTGCAGAAATGCTTGTCACATAATAGTTTTATCATCAGAAACCTTTTTCTATATGAAATTTTATTTTTAGTTATGCATAAATGCAAACGTTCTACTCTTTAGTTTGTGTACGGCCCTTGAATATGATTTCTGATATTACTTTTAAACATCTCTGTCAATTTTTGTCATACAAAAATCAGACCTTTTGTGTTTTATTTTCTGTAACAAGTACTTTTTTTTTTTCTTCTAAATGTAAGTATTGGGTTCCAGAGCAACATGTAAAATGTTAGATTTCCTATTTTATACACTTTTATTTTTTCAGTTTAAAAATATCAAAATATAAATAACTGCAAAGTTCAAAACAATTTTTAACTGGAAATATAAGACTAACTGTTATGAATATAAAGGTCAGGTAAGGACTTTTGTGGACATGGTGTATATTAAAATCATAGCAAATCTTGTGATTAGCTACAATGTTCAGATAATATAGTAATCAACCTTAGATTATAATACATATAAGGGTTAATGTACATTTAAAATAGGATTGTAAATTTATGAACAGGAGAGCCGATTACTTTTAATATAAAAGAAATTCCGGATTCTCGGTTTTTAGAGATTATAGATCATCAGTTTAAATCTGGTAAGATGGCATGCAGAAATTATAAAATTAAAAATACGACTCCGTAATTTATGAATTAAAGAGCAATTATGATCTAAAGGATATCAACATTTAAAAAAAAAAAAAAAAGCTTAATATTTATTTGTTTACTTTATTAAACATTTCTTTCAATGCGCACATGCGTAAAGCATACATTACGCATAGTCGAAATTAGAAAATTGCAACCAGAAAACTATTTCATGTGTATTCGTGATATTTATAATGACTAGTGTTGGAAAATATAGCTTATTTTTAGACCTTTTACTGCATCATCTCTCCTCCTTGAAATGTTTATTTAGTTTAGTCCTTATTTTAATGTAATATAGTAGTTACTTCTACTTCTTTTCTTGCTGCCACTGTTTGCATTGAGAACGGACTGTTTCAACCTAATTGAGATGCAAAAACGAAACATGATGTTACGTTCATCTGAAAAGCCGATTCGTGCCGATAGCTGATTGGTTGCCGTGAGATGACGTCATTCCTACTTCTGCTATAAGTATCTCGCGTCGCTCTGGCTCTACCACTTCTAGTTCCTGCTTTCCCGGCACGTGAGTGAGCGGTTTCCAGCCCCTTCAAAAGGATGCATGCAGTCCGGTGAATAAAATGCCTTGGTTCCAGTTTGCGAGATGATGGTTCCAGAATAAAGTTCTTCGGTTCCAGAGGCTACCATGTGAGTGACTGCCGTGGGCGGCATCCATGTTCTTCAATAAAGGCGGCAATTAAAAATACGTGAGCGGCGACTCCTTGTGCAAACGGGGTTAGACCTGTTTTAAGTGCTTTCAAGAACTTCATTTAAATTTTTAGGTGTTTTTCTTGACCATTGATTATGGACTGGTTAAATGTGTAGCCAGCTTTATTTTTAGGCCGCATAATTACTGTATAGGGCATTTTTTGTTTGTATAGAATGCCAGTGTTTTGGAGACCAGGTAAAAATATTGTTTGATGAATGATGATTATATTATATTTTTCCTAAGACTATGATATTATTGACTTTTATTTTCTGTGTTTTTATTCTTTATTATATTGTTAATAAATTGGTTAAGTTCAAAATCCTTTATTGTCTTCAGTGTCTGCACAACATATCTCAGGGAGCTTTCATTGCTACTACTGCTAAATGTTTAATTTCTTTAAACTTTGCTTTAGCATCAACTAGGAATTTGATTTAAATCATATCAAAGACAGAGTACATTGAGATGAAATACTACATTTGGTAAGGAATTATAAGCCGAATAAAATAAAAACATCTGCCCTGAAGTTAAGGATAGTGCTGACAGATCAACTTCCAGTTCATTGCGCGCCGTGATGTCCCCCCCCCCCTGTAGAGCAGCGTGAAATTGATAAACAGATTTTGGAATGGTTAGAGAAACAAAGGATATGCCTTTATCCATTTTTCGCTGCAATTCCACTTTTTGTTTGATGGACATCGAAACATGCTTTCGCTTTGTAGATCCTTTGGAAGCTCCAGAATCGGAAATTTTCTTTTTGACACTATCAAAAGTTCAAGCTTACTTTTATAAAATTGCTCTAACAGCCTGCAAAAAATAATAAGCCGGATCCAATTTGAAGATTAAGGAACAACGCAATCTGAAACATTAACTGAAATAGATAATTAGATAATTTTAGCTTAGCTTATACCGTCCGTTATACATTAAACGCCCATGTGTAAACATATTATGCGCATGCGTAAAGGTACTATGCGTTATGAGTTGACGCATGCGCAGAAAGTTTGTAGCTTTGAGGTTGATGCTAAAGCAAAGTTTAAAGAAATTAAACATTTAGCAGTAGTAGCAATAAAAGCTCCCTGAGATAATATGTTTGTGCAGACATTGAAGACAATAAAAAGGTTTTAAACTTAACCAATTTATTAACAATATAATAAAGAATAAAACACAGAAAATAAATTTCAACAATCAGAGTCTTAGGAAAATATAATATAACCCTCATTCATCAAATAATATTTTTACCTGGTCTCCAAAACACTGGCATTCAATACAAACAAAAATGTCCTAAACATTAATTATGCGGCCCAAAAATGAAGTTGGCTACACATTCAAAACATCCATGATCGATGGTCGAGAAAAACATCTGAAATTTAAATCAAGTTCTTGAAAACACTTAAAACCGGCCTAACTCCGTTTGCACGAGGAATCGCCGCTCACGTGTTTTAAATGCCGCCTTCATTGAAGAACATGGATGCCACCCACAGCAGTCACTCATATGGTAGCCTCTGGAACCAAGGAACTTTATTCTGGAACAATCATTTTATGGATGTGAGCCAAGGAACTCATTCTGAAACAATCATCCCGCAGACAGGTACCAAGGAACTTTATTCAGGAACAGTCATCCCGCAAACCGGAACCAAGGCACTTTAATCACCGGACTGCATGCATCCTTCTGAAGGGGCTGGAAACCGCTCACTCAAGTGCCAGGAAAGCAGGAACTAGAAGGGTTGAGCCAGAGCGACGCGAGATACTTATAGCAGAAGTATGAATGACGTCATCTCACGGCAACCAATCAGCTATCGGCACGTATCGGCTTTTCAGATGACGTAACATCATGTTTCATTTTTGCATCTCAATTAGGTTGAAACAGTCCGTTCTCAATGCAAACAGTGGCAGCAAGAAAAAGATGTAGAAGTAACTACTATATTACATTAAAATAAGAACTAAACTAAATAAACATTTCAAGGAGGAGAGATGATGCAGTAAAAGGTTTACAATAAGCTATATTTTCCAACAGAGGTCCAGATAGATCATTCCGGATTAAATACTTTTGACTGTATATGTGGCCTGTAAATTCTTTGAAACACTCAGATTCACTAAATGAGCACCCTATGAACTTATCAGAACTCAGCCATACTATAAAATGTGCGCTACACTGATGCACAAAATAATCAAACTGGATTAGTTCCTCTTTATGGCAATTTAAATTTAAAATGCAGATAAAAGCAAATAAAAATAGCATTTAACTAAAATCTTCAGACATGAAGCATTCCCATTTTTTAAAACCACTCTTCTTTACAAAACTGCACCAATTCTAAAAAAGTACCTCACAAAACTAACAACAATTTTAGATCTGATTTACAAACTAGAATTACACATTTTCTCTCCTTTATAAATCCCAGTTTTCTCTCTCTTTTTACTGATCTCCAAATACTAAAGATTTGGATAGCAGAAGATGAAATTTCTCAAAATCTTCTCAAAGCTTTTGACCTCCTAAGCTGGTGAGGGAGGACAGTAATTTGCATTTAGAATCAAAATTGATAACATGTTTTGTAGATATCAAGGGAGTTGTTTTCTCTTAGGCAATGAAAAATATTTACAAAATTAAATTACAATATTTTGCGACATTCCTGTGAAGAGGCTATGATTCTCAGGGGTGGGAACCACTGAGTCACTGAGTAGCTATCAAATGCTTTACAAAAAAACAAGAAAACACTGAAGATATTATATAATAAATTACATATTAATTAGCAATTCTTTAAAAAGAAACGTAGTTTACCCATAATTTAAAGAAAAATAAAACAAGTAATATATATTAATGAAATATCAAATTTGTATAACTCTGCAAATATTATGCAGAGGTCAAGATATGTTTAAGAAATTTAATCAGTAATTACAACCTGCATCGAGCACAAAAAAAAAAAAACCAAATCAGAAATATATGCAGACTAATTTTATAAAAATAAAGAGATCATGAGAGGTACTTTATGATACAGGCAGAAAACAATAATTCTTTAGTTGAAATTTTGAGCTAAGATAAAAATGACAAAAACCCAATATATCAAAAATTATGAATTTCCACTTACAGGATGTATTTTAAGATAAAATACTATGGTGAAACTAATATAAAGGAATATATTCAGAAATACATAACCACTTTCTTATACTTCTGAATAATAATGAAATTCTGGAGGCTTCATGCAAAAAAGAATTATTTTTCTATAAGTCCAGTAATAAAATACTTAATTATTAGCACTACAAGCACAGATAAATATTAACAGGTAAAATAATAATTAAAACACTTACTATTGATGATATTTTTAATATTCTCTTTGACATCTGATATATCCATCAAAGAAGTTTCTCTATTCTGAGACTTCTGTAGATCTTTGATTTGCTGCTCTAATTCCGAAATAACACAATCCTTCTTCCCAACATTTTGCTCTTGCTTCAGTTTTTTCACTTCTTGCTGCGCTGATTCTTTCAAGCATTGTAATTCTTCAATATCCTTTCCTAATTGCTGAAGCTAGAAATACATTAACTATGTACGATTTCAGGAATTTTCTCAAAACAAAAAGTTTGATAAAAAATATGTCAGAAAAATAATCATAATGATAAAGATTCACTTTTCACAAATATGAAAGTCAAGTTAGTACTAATAATCAGCAATTTTCATTTTTAAGTGTTCATGAAACAAATAATGATGATGATATAAATACAGCAATTAATTGTATGAATTTAGAAGTCAAACAACAAAAATCAGCGTTATATTTGCAAATTTTCACAGGACTAGTTTCAATGGTTTTACCAAACCATCATCCTCAGCTGCCAAAGCGCAAATGAATGAAATAAGATATAATGATTAGATAAGATAAGAATGGCTGGACAGGAGTTAAGTTACTGGCACCATCTATTGATGAAATGAGAGCTAAAACGTAATTTCCTTAACCCTTCAACGGTTTGACCCGGATTATTGTTAGTTTAAATGTCCCCTTGAAAATGAACTGTCTTGTGTTTTTTTAATAATGAAAAGATACGCCAAGAAGGACTAGCCCAGATTTTTGTATTTCTTCCAACCCCCAATACCTCAGGGTACAAAGGGTCAGGCAACCCTGACAACAGTGGGTAATGGCTGTTATTAGCGAGGCCAGAAATCTTCTTGATGTTTTGAGATAAGGGCCTTACACTGTGACTCTAAATAAACAAATTTATTACCAGTTACAAAGTAAATGCATATATAAAGGGAATTAAAAATTTCTGTTTCAGAGCAGTTATTTAACAAAAAAGAAGTTTTAAAAAATAAACTTTCATTTATAACTCACAAAATTGTTAATGAATTAAAACGAAAAAAATAATGTATCATGTAATTTAATGTGAACATGAGATTAAACAATTCTCTTTAAAAAATTCTTCCACACATTTAGATCACAAATATTAAAAACGTGACGCTCTCTTGATAAATTTATAAATCTTTTATTTTTGACAATGCGATTAGATTATTTGATTTCGTTATTTAAGAACCTATTCTTCCTGTTATAAAACTGTACAAGAATTTTGCAAAGGGATTTAAGTAATCTCCTATTCCCATTAATCTATATAATAAATTATTTTTCTCCTTTTGTTTCAGTCTTTTCTTCGAAGAATCCTCTTACCTCAAATAATCGAAAAAATCTATGAATTTTTAAAAAAATTGCCCAAAAATCAGAAATTAAGTTAAAAATTTCATGCAAGTTTTATTTCAAAATCTATTTTACACTCTGTAAAATGATACAAACTGAAAATTTTTGAGAATTTTAGTTTATTCTTGAAATGGAAATATGCGCAAAATTTTATTTTTTAACATTAAATTTTAAAAACTCTAAATCGAATTTTATAAAACTCACTTTACCACACTGTATTATCATTTGTAAACGACGTCCGTAAAAAATTTGAACTCAATAGCTTATCAAGAAGCAGTTTAAAAATCGATGACGAGCTTCTGATTATATTGATAAACACCGTGAGTGAACTGAATACAATTTTTGAAACAAACTTGGTAACTCTTAAATATTATATTTTTAAACACTTTGGAGAGATCGATAAATTGCTGATATTGCATAACCTATTATTTTTCTAACATTCTTGGTATTATGAAACAATTATGCGACATTCATACGCGATAACCGACAATTCTGTTCATTTGTCAAAGTAGCTGCTTTTGTAAATATTGTGATGCTCATTCAATGTACTCAACTATCTATGATACTCATTATCAATATTTAATTATGTTCTATTTCTATACAGAAATACTGGTAACATTGAGAGAGGTTAACAAAATTTTCCAAATATTTAACTATTTGAGGTATATAACTACTTATAAGAAAGTTTGAGTCATTTTCCAAAGATAATATTTTCTTTAAAATCCATTTTTCACTCCCCTTATGCTTAATGAATTTATTACTATTCTGATCAAAGGAAGGTAATGAAAACCAAAAGCTGAGTAGGTAATTACGAATCTAACTAATAAAATGCTCTACAAATAAAACTTTTCATATTTTAGTGGAATGTTTTTTAAACATAGTTATGTAGATTCTTGTAGAAATCGGTACAATTTTATGCCAATTTAGTTTTTTTTTTTTTTTTTTTTTTTTTTTTTTTTTTTTTTTTTTTTTTTTTTGGGGGGGTGTTTAATTTTTAGCTGCTTATGAGTGTATTAAAAACGCCTTCCCACACAAAATGTTAACTACTTTAAAATATTCATAATCACAGTCGATTTGATGCTTACAATTTTTTCCCTGACATTTCTTTAAAAAGAAAGAATTATAATTGTATTTAATGCAGAAAATGTAATGGATTTGGAATCTGCGCAAGAGAATGGAAACTATCATGGAGGACTTTCTAAAGGGAACTAGATTTCATTCACCTTGAACGTAGAAAAACCAAAAAAAATTTTACGGAACAAGCACGTTTGGCAGGATTTGAACCCATGTTGAATTACCAGTGCTCAGCGGTTTAAACACTTGGACACTAGGAAAGGTGGCGTAGATCAATTTAAAATCTTCTTTAGAAACCTTTCATCTTGATTTAGTGTGACAGATGCCGTAGTTTGAGGGTTATGATTATTTGAATGCAGCAAAACACATGAGGACTATCAGCTTTTAAGGACAGCGATGCCTTCGTAGAGGATTTTCCAACAAGAAATGGCTCATATTCATGTTACACATGGGGAAAATCATGGAAAAATACCATGCAGCCATCCCATTCGTTTGTCTGTGTTTTAATCTAAGTCGAACTATCAGTATTTAGCAATCTTACTGGCCACTGATATGGCTGTAGTATAATACAGGAAATAATTATTACCAGACTGTATGGCATCTAAATTAAGAAATACGAAAAATCACTTCTGAGGTAATCTAAAGTCCAAGTTAAGTTTTTTTTAAATGCTAGTGATTAATATAATTATGAAAGAATTCATGTAATTTGTGCCATTTTCATATTGTTGAAATTTAATTAGTGTGGCTTTAATGAACGATTATTTAGACCTGCTACAGGAAAAATACATGGAAATTTTAAATGTGTAAAAAAAATAATGAACCAGATTTTAATGTGTGAAAAAAATTAATTATGTTCTCCTCTAGTGCAGATCTTTGTAATTATATTTCTAATTCCCAAATCAAAGGGAGAAATCTAGTTGCTGAAGACACAAAACATTACCAATTCTTTTAGGCTTCTATTTTCAGCGACAGAATATTTACGTTTTTTTGCCATATGTAAATTAAATACAAGTAAGCTTTTTTTAGAAAGTTCGCCGAAAATGGAATATCTCTACCTTAGATGATAGATATTGTGTTGTAGAGTTCCTCACTTTGGAATTCTAAGTTAATGTTGGAAGTGAAGAATCTAAGAACTGATAAGCGAATAATCGCTTGAGTTCGGTGACAAGAAACAAGATAGAAGGGTAACTAACCATTTATTATTCCAATAAGATTTAACAAAATTCCGCCTGGGAGTGTACAAGCAAAGCCCGCACTTGGACTTGAACTTAAAAGACTAAGAATTAAACTAAAACTAAGATTAAATAAAGAAGTATAGCTATCAAGGTTCAAATCGAGTTGGCCCCTTAACTTATCTGACTACGAAACTTAGACAGGGCCTGAGTACGGCCGAGCGTAATAACAGCTTTGAGAGAGAGAGTGGCAAAAAAGGCAGATGTGCGTAAATCAGGAACTCTGATTCTCTCTCACTCAGTAAGTAACATCGTGGTTTAAATACCACTCCTCCTCATTAAATATTCAGCAAGATTCCAAAACTACGTTCTGGCTGGAAGTAGTAAGTTGAATTTAAGAATTTGACAGGAAAGGAACTTTAATGAAAAAGAGCAAGGAGCAAAAATAATTAATTTTCCAAAAACAAAATGTAATTTCTGTTCATGAATTCAGATCAAACATACAAATGATGTATTGGTTTGGATTACTTGATTATGGTAAAGAACACTAGGGCTACCGGCCTAAGAAAAAGGGGGGGCTTCGTGGAAGACTTTGTGTATTTAATTATGGCAAAGCACACGAGGGCTATCTGCCTAAGGGGAGGGATGCCTTCGTGGAGGACTTTCTAAGGGAAACTGGCTTGTATACACATTACACATGGAAGACTTTCTGAGCGAAACTGGCATGTAATCCACTTTAAACACGGGAAAATTCACAAACACTTCCCTGCAGCTAGCGCGTTTGTTTAGAATCGATGATTTGGTTTATCTGATTGCAGCAAAGCAAACTAGAGCTATATGCTAAGTTGAGAAATTTTGTAGATGAATTTTTAAAGGAAACTGGTTGATATCCACCTTATGCATGGGAAAAACTACGAAAATGCCCATGCAATGTGCCCGTCTTCTGGAATCGAAATCAGGTTGAACTACCAGTGTTCAGCTACTTCACGGCTCAGCCGATGGGATTTCGTTTGGAACCGAACCCAGGTTAAATTACCTGTATTTGGCTACTTTACCACTTCACTAATGTTGGGTTCTAAAAATGTAATGAGCTAATATATAAATGCTTTATATATATGTAAACTAAATGCCTAGTTTTATATATATATATATATATATATATATAATAATATCTACGCAGTTTAATATTTAAAATAATCTGAGAAAATTAATCAAACTAATCAGTCAATCCAAATTCTATCAACTGCGGTAAGTAGAGCAACAAATTGCAAAATTATAGCATCAAAATCCTAAACAAGCTCATAAAAGCTTGAGAATTTTTTTTAATTTGTATTTTGAGTCGGAAAAACAAGTCATATAAATACAAATGCAAGCAATCCAACTCGTGAAAAAATAATGACGGATGAAAATTTGAAACCGTACAGAGCAGAGCAAACTTCTTTTCGCAGATCTGTAGCAAAATCATAAATAAGCAAAAAAAAAAAAAAAAAACCTTAACAAAATCTAATAAAAAATATTTTCTATTTAAACGGAAAGAGTTTCCATAACACAAAACACGTAAACAGAAGCAATCCAATGAATGAAAAAATAATAACCACTGAAAATTTGATCCAAAACAAACAAAATAAAAAGAAAAAGAAGAGCTAGTTTTTAAAATCTGTAACATTAGAGCAAAAAAAGTTTTTGTAATTATTATGCATATAAGCATGTATACTTATCAGAATCAATGGAACATTTTATCAAAATTTTTTTTTTAATTTTAGGCAATTCCTACGGTTTTACCGTTGAGCCCTGGTAGATCGGCCTACTTCCAGATGCTGAGGAATGGACTGGCTGCATGGGCATTTCTGTAATTTTCCTGATGCATGAAATGAGTGTGAACCAGTTTCCTATAAATCCTACCTGAGGGCATTTTATCTTTCAGGTTATGAGGCTTTGCTTTGCCTTTATTTATTGAAATCTAAAAACAGTAAACAATGCCCCCTAATTATGACAAAAAACCTAACATCGTTAAAGGAAAGAGATGATAAACAGTTCTTAAGCGAAAGGGTTTTCGTAAGTGTAAAGGTCCCACCTGTGGCAGCCAAATACTGGTAGTTCAACCAGGATTTGATCCCATGCGAAAACGTTGACTGCATGATTTATTTTCATGGTTTTCCACCTGTGGAATGCAAATACGAGTCAGTTTTCCTATGAAATTCCTTCACAAAAGCATTTCTCACCTTAAGCAAATAGCCCTCATCTTCTCTGTCATATTCTAATAATCTAACCTTTTCTACTAGACAGAAGAATCTCTTTTTTAATGTACGACTCCTAATGGTGTCAAAAACTGCAGTTTTCTTTTTCTTCCCCCCCTCAATGCAAAAAATACACATCGATGTTGAAATCCATAAACCTTTACGTAAAATCAACATGAATTTTTATGTTTTCCACTTTTTATTTACATTCTGGAGAGTTCTCATGTGCATGAACTGAAACTTGACGTGGACAATAAGCTTCTCTGTATTATAAGCACAGAATGTTTCCATATTAACTTTCTCTGGAACGTTCAAAATTTAATATTTCGTGAATGTATTGGACAGAAGTTTGCATTTAACATTAAGTCAACTTTTTTTCCGCACACTGTAACATTAAAAGATAGTCTCTAGTTTCTAGAAGTCTATGTCACTAGTTTTTCCAAATAGAAATATTGTTTATAATGTAATTAAAGTTGTAAGTATATTAACTTATAGCAGCAAGGGAAAGAAACTCGAAAATAATTTTATTCAAATGTTTTGATCATTACATTCAAAATTTACACAGCAACTGACACTAAAATATTTACATGATGGCATTAAGATTGCTTGCTAATTAAAAGTTATTAATAATATAACATTTTATCCTGTAACAATAAAGCTTGCTTTAAACTGAATAATTATAACATTATAGAATATTAAATTTTAATTAAAATTTTAAATTTATGATAATTAGCTAAATTTTTGTAGACAAATAACTCGGCAATTCTTCTGAAAGTTAAAATGCAGTTCTAATATAGAACTTAAAAATTTAAATGTAATATTAATAAATTTGATATTTGTGAAATTTTTAACAATTATTCAACCTGTATGACAATACTGTGCATTTCTTTTGAAGCAATTAAACATGAATCAAAGACTGAACAATTTTAAGATGAAGCATTGTTATTAATAACCAATAAATAAAGCAAAAATGCACATAATTTGACGTCAAACTTGGCAAAAACTATTTCATTCTTATAACAAATATTTTGAGGATGCATCCCTTTTCATTTTTGTATCTACAATATTACTATCAGATGTTACTAATCATGAAAGACATGAGATATGTTTATATTACTTGATAAATTAAATAGATAAATAAATAGCACAATAGTGTTTTAAAATAAGATTAATTTTAAAATTTAGATAAATAAATAGCACAAAGTTTAGTACTTTTAGCTGTAACAGATATAAGTGTCTTTATTTTATTTCTGAACCAACTTAAAAATACTTTACTCACCCAATCAGTTCACAAGAAACATTCTTAATCATATACTTTAATTCCCACAAAAATCTCTAAAGAAATTAATTTAAAGTATTTAATGGAACTATAAACGCATAATAGACTTCTATATTCATAAATGTGGTTATAAGAAGCAAAAAAAAAAATTAAATATTAAGGTAGTGTTCCATAGAAACATTTATTGCTTTATATTATAATATCTAGATGTATAAGAAAGGTTATCTTGCTGAAACGTCATAGAAACTCTAATCATTAATTTCTGCTTCATACAATTACTTCAGTCATAGAATAAGCCAGACACACAGGGTAATGTTTTTACAGAACAAAAGTTGAAGGCTCTAACAGGGTTCACAGCCACATTTTAGTTAAAAAAATAAGCACCTATAAGCACTTTTCAAGCACATTTTAAGAAAAAAAATAAGCATGTGTCTAATTACATCATACACAACTGCATAACCTTAAAAATTAGACTTGTATTTTAAAATATGAGAAATGAAGTACTTATTAAGAGAGAATAAGCATTACCTCAACCATGGAAAATAATTACTTTTTTGTTTGTTTGTTTGTTTGTTTGTTTTTAATTTTAAATAATAGTTCAATTTACAGAACTAGTTTAAAACAAGAGAAAAAAACTATGAAGAACTAAACTATATTACAAGATTTAATGATGAAATTTCAGTTCAAAATAGAGTAAATAAATAATAATAAGGCATATTTATTGTATTTGCTTGGAACCTAATAATAAATACAATTTATTTTTCCACTCATATTGATATTTAAATAATTTAAATCTAAATTCTAAACATTTTCTAAATTTTCATTGTATATCAGTTTTCTTTTAACAGATATTGCAAGCAAAGTAATTTAAGTAAAAAAGAGGAACATTTCTGAAATCAGAGGACAAAAATTTGCTTTATGCAGTCCTCTTTAAGCAGCTTAACTAACCCGCATACTTGGAAATTACCGAATATTCGGACAATCGAGCGTAACTTGAAGGAGCGGATGTGGGGGGGGGTAGACTGTAGCCGCTCTTTAGATTTTTCCGCTAAATAAATGCTTTTGACATTTCAATATGTGCATCGTATAAAATAAACCAACGGAATTAAAAAATATTCTGCTTAGCAAGCACAGTAAAACTCTTTTAAGTGTTCATAAACAAATCTCAGACTGAACATCAAAATTAATTATCTCTGCAAAATATCGCAAACGTTATTGCACAATACATGCGCCGTAATTCTTCCCTACGTGATATTACGCAATCGGAATTAACAACTGCCGGTATTGGGAGAATAAAGAACTAAATAACTGGGGTGTTTTTCATTCTAATTTTCAACAGACGGCGTTAAATTTCCAGAATAGAATCATTCTTCGCTTGGGTTGGTAGACCGCAGAACCTTTAGTCCTATTCAATCCAGATTGGAAAGTGACAAAAAAAAAAGGTCCGTTGCTTGTTTTGCGGCGAACTGTAACAGTTTCAATATTCAAGATTTTGCGGAGAAAGGGGAGACCTCCCAACCTTCGTACTGTATAACGTATTGGCCAAAAAAATGAAATTATTTTGGCTATTCGATTACTTTGCCTAATTTAAGCCATACCGAATATTATTCCTTAGAAAGCTAATATGTGTTAAAACACAATCATTTTTGGAAGTTTACTATACTTCAGCAGTTACTGCAACTATGTTATTATAAACATTCATACATATGCTCATAATATAAGCATAACGATCATAATAAACACGAATATGAACTGACCAAGCAGAACGAGAATGAAAATTTTTAAGATCTTGATAGAAATTCAAACGTGTGTAGTATTTGGGTGGGAGGAAAAGAATGCCGAATGTAGCTTAATTTTCTACTGCTTTCGCAATTCTTTGACCAATAGAACGACGGGCACCCGTCTGTACTCTTCGTGCACACCAAAGGTTATGTTAATGCAGAGAAAGGGGGGAAAAGCTATTTCAGGGAGTATGACTCACCATCTGACATTCCATATTAGAAAGAAAAGTTGTTTATTTAGTTTCGGCTTTGGTACGGGGAAAAATAGCGCGTTCATTTAAAAAAAAAAAAGAAGAGCACTAAAATCAAAAAATAAGCACTAAAAACAAAAAAATAAGGGCTTTAAAGAAAAAGTAAGCACCTATAAAGGGCCTTTATATTTATTTTTCAAATATAAGGACTTATAAGCACTTATAAGGACCGCTACGAACCCTGTTGTATCTTGAAGAAAGTCGTACCCAAAAGTAGTACAAGAAAAATTACAAATACTGAAACCATTACATAATAAAAAAAATTAAAAATGAAATATTAACCTCCTCAGTTTAACGCCTCAAACAGAACTTATCAAGGGAAAAGTGTATTCAAGTTCAAAACCAAGTTGATCAATGAGTTCCGAATAGAAGTTTCGTTCCTCTGAGACATTTGAGATTTAGGACCATAGTTCCAAATGAATTTTCAATTTAAAATAACTTTCAGTAGTTCTCCATTAATCCTCCATTTAATCTCCAACTATTTTGTATTCTTTTAATAATTATATATATATATATATATATATATACACACACACACATAGACACAAATTCACAACAAAATTAGCTGCTGATTTAATACAGTATTAGAAAATAAATTAAAAACTTAATATAAATATTTTATGCATTACTCTGGAGTTCTCTTTCTTAGCTTGAGATAATAGGCCTTCCAAACTATTAATTCTCAGGTCTCTACTCTGGATTTCATTTTGCAGCTTTGATGTCTTATTTTCAAAGCTTTTATTAGTATCAGCTAATGATTGCAGTTGACGTTCCAGTTGAACATATTGCTGCTTTCCTTCATCAACCTAAGCATATACCAGAGAAAAAAATCATAAAACTGATACCTCTTCAATGCAGTTTTCTTAAATATTAATAAAATGATTGCCAAAAAATCAAAATTCATTATTTTGTAAGACATGAAGAAAACCAAAGCTATTAGAATAATGTACGAGTGCTATTCAGGAAGCAAGGAACATTTCTGTCTGACGTCGCTAGGCACACACCGATCACGTATATTTTGTTGTCGGCATCTCATTCGGCATCCAGCCATCACAACGGGAATATTTCCACGCTGCCCATTTTTTTTATATTCAAATTTAAAATATGTTCTGCAATTGAAAATCCTGCCAGTTGGGAGGTGCAGTCTGCGATACAGTTTTTGTTGACAAAAAATCTAAAACCTATGGAAATTTATCGGCAAATGTGCTTTACACGCATGCACAGAAACAAGGTAATGAATGAAACGGTGTACAGAAACAAGGTAATGAATGAAAATTCAATCCGGAAATGGTGCATTCAGTTTAAAAATGGCTGAACTAATGTTCACGATGAAGAGAAGAGTGAATGCCCTAGCATTGTGACTGACGAACTGGTCACTAAAGTTCGTGAAAACCACCGTTTCACAATAACGGAGCTTTTGCTTAGTTTTTCACAAGTTTCACAGAAAATTGAAATTGAATTTGAAATTGTCACACAAAAGCTAGGCTACCAAAAATTTTGTACAAGATGGGTGCCGAAATTGCTTACAGACCACAATAAAGGTCAGCGAAAGGGGGCAGCTTTGACATTTCTGGAGGCCTACAACAGACATGGTGATTCATTACTGGATCGAATCGTAACTGGTGACGAAGACGTGGGTGAGACACATGAATTGCGAGACAAAATTACAGTCTATGCAGTGGGGGCACACAAGTTATCCCAAAAGAGAAAGAAAATGTTTGCAAACCTTGTCACAAAAGAAGATTATGGTGACTGTGTTTTGGGATAGGCAAGGTGTGCTTTTTATTGATTTTCTCGAGCATGGTGCCACAATAAACTCTGAGCGGTTGAGTGGTTAAGATCGCAGGCGGCAGAATTCTATGACGAAGGAATTTCAAAGCTTGTCCACTGCTATGATAAGTGCCTCAATTTGTTTGGTGACTATGTAGAAAAGTAGAACTTTAGTCGCTCTTTCTGATGTATATAATCAAATTTTTTTCCAAAACATTCCTTACTTTCTGAATAGCCTACGTAAGTAAAATTAAGAACAAACATGTTTTAAAGAAATGTGACGCAATAATCAATATTATTGCATCACATTTCTTTAAAATTCTTAAAGTGTGTGCACATTTCTTTAAAATTCAATAACAAATATTTATACTTCAGTTATCAGCACCTCAATGAAAAGTTGGCAACTTATCACCAATTTTGTGAATTTGAAGGGGAAAAAAGGTCTGCTTGGCTGTCATTACATCTTATAGGAAACATTCTGCTCATAAATAATAATAAGAGTTTATAAAAACAGGAATATTATGAAAAGGAAAATAGATATGGCTGATATTCAACTATTTTACTGACATCTATGCTTTTGCTAAAATAAAGCAAACAGCTAATATAAAGGAGATACTGCTGTCTTCTCACTAGTTTCCAACCCCCATTCAATTACTTTGGTTGTAATTTATATTAAGTTTTACATTGCACTTTCCCAGAGTTTTATCGTTTAGGAACTATAACGTCATAAAAAGCATATTTTATGTTATTATAAAAATGCTATATTTCTGAAAAAAATCCATTGCTTTACCTCTCATTAATGGGTGATTTCTGTAGTCCCATTATGTTTCAATTAATAATTCTTTTCAATTTAAAAAACATTGTACTTAAGGGTAGAGGACACTGATCAATAAAATGTTTAACTATGAAACATGTCATGATACATGCACTCAAACAAATGTGTGGAATGGATATTGTCACATGTATACTAAAAAATACACCAAAAATACAGAAACTCTATTAAATGTTGAAAGTAAAAGTGCAGATAATCAGAAAATATCTAAATATTTATCTAACATCCAAAACTATATGAAATAATGGCTAATCTTTGGAATATGATAACAGGTAGTTTAGCGACATTTTGGTAAGGCGATAAAGGTTACTAGCTAGAACTTTAACAGTGTACATGGATAAAGTCAAGAGTGTGTGCAATGCCATTTTTGTGTAATTCTGGGATTTTTTTTAAGAGGAAATAGGTCGATGTGTACATGGTTACCATGTATGTGCAATTCTTAAAAACGTGCCAAGCAGTTTGCGATTCTGCACTTTCTTCCCAATTTCGCACCTAATCTTCATCATGATTAAGCACTTTTGTTCCATAAAAGTTCTAGCATAAGCGGAATTCAGCTAGCAGATTGTTGGAAAAAAATGTTGAGTAAAAAAAGACATGCCTTTTCTTCGTGAAAACAAAATGGCGTCCAAACAAAAACAGCAGGTTGCTGTAGCAGGGTTAGTCGCCAAATTTTCGCCAAGTTACCATAATCCAAAGATTAACCGAAATAATTTCAAAATAGATAAAATGATCTGACAGCCCTACTTTTCAAGATAACTGACAATACTCAATTTCTTTAAGGCCATATTCTCAACCAGGTAGAAGGATTCCTCCTTTGGTTGAATTTACAAATTTTGGTATTTATCAACCTTTTCTATAGCTTTTGTTGCTTAATTTATTATGAAAAGATGTTAAAAAGTAATCTAAATAAATACTCAGTACAAAAGCACAGAAAATCTGGACCTCCAGACCACCAACTTTTTTTTGTAAGAGAGATGCTGTAAAAGAGATGTTTGAGAGCCTCCCAGGGGAAATGTCGTAACAATATTTGGCACATCACAGCCGCATGAGAACGAGCATTATCCTACAAGAGGATAACCCTGCGTGACAGCATACCACTTCGGCAAGTAGGTTCCTGATTATTTCCGGGAGAAAGAAGGGAGGCAGGCGAATAAGGAGAAAGGAAAAGTAGAAAGAGAAAAGCGGAAGAAGACAGACAGGAGTAGAGGAGAGGGGGGGGGAGAGAGGGGGGGGGGGGGCGAGGAGGGAAAGGCGAAAGAACTCGGGAGTGGTCCCTGGTGCTGGGCGTGGTCGGCGGTCGCGATAGGGCTCCGCCACCCGCCTGCCCCGCCCGCGATTCCTTGTCGGACCCGCGCTCCTTGGGGGGTCTGTGGTGGGAACGTTTTGTTCTTCCTCGCTTCTTTTTTACGTTCGCAGCAGTGCCCCCCTTAAGTTTTTTTTTGCCCCTTGCCTTAGCTGACCCTTAGCACCGTCATGTGACTTGGACTGTTTTATTGTTTTCCCCCCCCCCAGTCCCTCACGTTTTGTAGCACAGATTAGCTGAGTTTTTCAGTTGAGGTGATCCAGTGACCAGCCCGTTTTGTTTTTTCCGCCATACCCAATTACGATCTACCTCCATTCCACAAAGGCTCGTCTAGTGCCTTGGCAACACCCACTGTACGTTCAAATGATCTTCTAGCAAGCTCCTCGCCTTTTTAACATGACTTTTTCATTTGCTACTAGCTTTTCACTTGGTCCATATTGCTTGACTAACACCAGCACCCTTCTCCGGACGTCGCCAAAAGTTCTGCGCAGCTTTCCTCTGCTGGTCCTCGCCAAAACTGCATTTGTCTTCTTGCCTTACCTCGTTTTGGATAAACCCTGTTACCCCCACATTCCACCCCTGTTTCGAGCTGAGGCATTACTCAGCTGAATTTATAAGTTTATGTAAAAGTAGATCAGGTGCCGACAAGTAAAAGGGTCGTTATTAATGAAAAAGAGATTAGGTGTAAACCCTTTGCCTCAGATGTACCGCGCCTAGGGTCACCCCCCCTACAATCTATTTTTTACGCCGAATTCAGCCAGGACGTTTGTTAATGTACACTGTTCAGCAATGAGCCATTACCTTTTGCAAGTACGTATAAATAAAATTAAACGGAGCTTTATGACGTGCAGCTTCCTCTCTTTTACACCCTTTTTTGTACGGGCGTAACGTCCAACCTAACAAATCAACAACATGATGGCAGTTGTCTTTGTGCACTCTTGTCTCTCCTCTACCTTTTCCTTTTCCAGGTCCCTTTTCTTCTTCCCCCTCCCTCCCTTCCCCCCCCCCACTTTTCCTCCCCCCCTCTTGTTTTTGCGCGTTTGATCGTGGATTTATGCAATCCGACGCTCTTCCGGTAAGAAATGCGCCCTCCCCCCCACTTTTTCTTGTGATGTACCCCTTAAGAGCTTATTTGACTTTGAATGTTTTTAGACTTTTCGCTACGTGATGGCACCATATTTCCTTTTATTTATTCTTTTTTCCCTCAGCATGACAGTGACACTCCCCCTTTTGAATAGGAATTGTGCAGTCCCCTATGCACCCTAGTGGTTCTACCACTTATAACGTCTCGCCTCCCTGTGTTCCATGGATTTAGCAGATATGTTTGCAATTTTGATATTCCTCCTCTGTCTCCTCTGTTTTTTCAAGTTTTTGGCTTTGGCCACCCATTTGTGCAACCACCAAACCTTGCAGTATGTCAATTCCTTTCCACTGCCCTGTATTGTGCACCACACACTCCCTTCTTTTCACTGCTCTAACCTGTGCATACATTCATTTTTCCCATGATTTTTTCTTGAGGGACGCTATTCAATCTCCCAATCCCATCCTTTTTCATTGAGATCCTGTTGGCCTTCACTTGTATCTTGCCACTCCATGTCTGCCCCTGGGCAATTCACTACATGCCACTTTGACCAGGTCGTGCCTGATGTTGTCAGCCATGCTTCTTCCATTACGAATTAATACTCACACCATCATTGCAACTACCTGGCCCATCTGCATTTTCTTTGTCATTGATCTCTCCCATGCCATACGTACCCATTTCTTTGATATTTGATGATTCCTTTCGAGTATAGCTGTTCCTTAGAAGCACCCACTTTTCACAATTGATTCGCTTTTTTTTTGCGCTAAAGTAAACTTTTTGCTTTATACCCCCCACCCTACCCACTTGACACGCCCACATGAGACCCCCACACCTTTGGACCTTTCCCTTGGCCTCCATCCGATGTCTAAACGTATTGCCTTTTTTAAACACGCTTCTCCATGTCTATTCATTCCCTTCATACTCTGCATCATGTGTGGTTATCTCGTATTGATCATGTGAGTGGACTACATTTCCAGCACTCCGTCGCATCCCTTTCTGAAGGATTGTAATTTTTCTATTGTCTTCACTATTGAAAAGGGCTCAGAGCTATCCACTTCTAAGCTATATGTTCTTTTCATCTCTTGGTCATCCCCTGATTTACTGACCCATTCCTTCCCCAATTGATATATTAGAGTATATTAGTACCGACACTATACCCTTGTCACGTGTTCCATTCTTTATACACACACTCTATATTTGCTTTTGTCCTTCTTACCCCCTCTAATACCTTTTTTTCCGCGCCGGCTGTGCTATTATTTGTATCTGTGATGAACAGAATCAGTCCTAGTTATCATTTGAAGCGTCACTCCAAAAAATAGTGTCAATATATATGCGCCGTTTTTCCCATCATTTATTATTTTTATATATCCCATCCCCATGTGCTAGCAACTTTTCGTAAGGATGCAAACAATCAGAAAGCACCCAAAAAACATGAAATACAGTGTTCTGATAAAATTTTGAATTTCAAATTATAATTGTGTCCTTCCATCCAATATACGCCAAATTATAATAAAGTGCCACCGATTACTACAAGAAATTAATTTACATCCTCTTAGCATACCCCGGTTAGCCAACACTATTACTCCTCTTTGACTGTATAAGGTTTCCTCCCAATATACGCAATGGTATATATACCCGAAATTCACTTTTGCAATTGTTTATTTTAAGACCCCAACCCTTCCATTGTCAAAGTTTTTCTCCAAGCATTTACTTATGTAATTTTTTTTTATAAAATCCTGACGCCTGTTTGCTTTGTCTGCATTACACTTCACCAACTTTATTAATTATATTTAGAGCCTGGTGCGTTTATTGTATCTAATCGGGGTGATCGTGTGGTGTCTCACTTTTTTATTTAGTTGGCAATATTTCCCTCCCCCCTCTCCCAACTTCTTTTTCTTTTTTCCCTTATGAGATCCTCAGTTTTAGAATCCCGTTGCCGAATTAATTGTTAGATTAGTTTCCCCCTCCTGTCAACTCTGTACAATCTCTTCTAGGCCCCCTACCCCAGCCCAAACCTTCTCTCTCTCTTTCCCTTCTCTTCCATTCTATTTTATGACCACCTCATATCTCCCCGATAACAGTCTTTTTGTCAGTCCATAGGCACTAAGCGCTGTCTATCACTTTCATACGCCTTCCTTTGTTTTTTATATTCCCCCCCCCCCCCCCCCCTTCCCCCCTCCCCTTCTTTTCGGGGCAACCATTTCTGTGTTTCGCAAACTAAAATTCGTTCTCTTGGCATTTTTTTCGCTTCTTTTGTCTTCTTTAAAATCCTATAATGTAATAATATAAGTTTGCAGAACCCTTGTTGCTTACTAATAACCAATTGAACCAATTATGGTTTAAAATTTCTGCAGGAAGGAAGGAATCTTTTTGTCGCAAACCATTCTCCCAATGTGGATAATAAATATTTACGAGAACCGAATGAAGATTCGTTTGGGTTTTTTGTAGTCATTTTGTTCGGACTTCGCCTTATGCGATGCACAAATCACTGCAATATCTCATAATCATCACAACCTATATTTTGATCTTTCTTTTTTGTAATATCTAAATCCACACCAGACGTGCTGCGCCAATGCAGAGCTTTTTTATAGCAATAGCGTTTCCCAACCCCCCCCAATTTAAAATCATATTCATATTCCACGATGTTGTTTGGGAGGAAAATTAAAATAGTCCCATCAGTTTCAAATTCTATGTACGTCCAATAATTTTAAATATTTTGCTCATTTTAATAATTTGCTTTTACACCGTTTTCCTTTCTATGTTTGTATTTGAATGATTTGTCGTAATTGTACGATTAACCATATACACATAGTTCGGTAGGAGAGTATTTTGATAAAAGTCACAAAAAACTGCCAATTCGCAAACGTATAAATGAATCGTTTTACATTCCGCTTGTATAGTCTGCTTAAAAACTTCTCTCTTGCCACACTTATCACCAAGCGTTCTGTGGTCTTGACCTTTGTTAAAATGCACAGTATCCCCCCTCCTAACAATATTTTTTATTCAACTACTCCGTCCTTTCCCCCCCCCCCCCCCCCTTCCTATTTGTTTTTTGTTTTTTGTCCCTGTTTATTTAGTGCTTATATAATTCCGGTCATAGGTCTAATTCACCCATCTGTTCACTTGAAGTTTTATATTTCTTTTTTTTTCCTTTTTTAAGTGTTTAATTTAGTATATAGCTTACTTGTCGCTTTTTTCTTGATGTCCTAGAGGCAAGTCTCCAATGACCCTTCACATTATGAATGCTGTTATGTTGCGGCCTCTCTTTGTTGAAGTCGTGACACTATACGGTTTCTTTTCTAAATGTTGTATACTTGCTGTAATTTTGAGTCACATTCGACCCAGACAAATCTGCCTGCTCCTCCCCCACCTCCTTTCGTCTAGTATGCATCCATATCCTTTCCTATGATCTCCATGATGATCCCGAACCCAACAACCAAACTATGGTTAATATTAATAATTATAGCCTTATGTCCCCTGTGATTTATCACCATGTGAATACATCCAGTATAATCAGCTCTTCAATGCTAATAACAAACAATAGTGCACCTCAGCTTAGACAACCATCTTAATGTTCACTCTGAATCATATTGTAAAAACCTAAATTTAACATCCTATTTGCACATTTTAATATAAAACTTATGCCTGATCAATCTAAAATAGTAAAATGTTAAGTCATTGATATAGTTTACCAGTTTCATAGATTTGAATCCCCAAGAAATTAACTTTCATCTATGGTTTTATTAAAATTAATATTCTCCGTATGTCTTAAACTCTTGAGTCGAGATGTCGCACAGGGACTATGTACAACCCTTAATTATGTGTTGCATGTTACGCAACTAGATGTTTTGTTGTTTCGTACTTGTCACGATTTACCCCCCTATGTTAGCCACATTTTCCCCATGTTTTTTTGGCTGTGCACCCTCTAAATTTAACATTCTTTACGGTGGCTTTCAAGTTTATAGCCAGGATATATTGCCTAAGCTTGATTTCGGCACACATTATCATGTTCCCCGTTCTTGGTACTCATATTCTCATCGATTTAATTTCCCATATATGGCTTGTTGGCACTTGTGACCATAGTTTATTAAACAGTTTGGACATTTGTGTGAGGTGATATAAAATTTTCACAAACCATGTTGACCTTCTTTCCCTCCGATAATAACAATCTGTTGAACTTATTTCTATTGCCGCCACACGACACGAAAAAGCTTCTGACACGCACCTTCTAGTTTTTTACTTATCAATAATGGGCAACCTTCCAAAAAGTGTATTATGGAGGTCGTGGATTGAACCCTGAACAAGTTCCTCAGAAGATAACTGGGCTTGATCTCTTACGGAATATGGATAATGGTTTAGTTGGCGAACATTTGGTAGGAGAAAATGTGTTATCTTACATATGGACTTTGCCCCCCCCCTTCTCGGAGAACTATTTTATCCCGCCCCCCCCCCCCCTGATGAGTATAGAAGCACTCTGTTGTTCCGATTGATGCTATTATTTTGTGTGAGGGAAATGAGAGATCATGAGATATGTCATGCGACATTAATAGACGAATTACAGTTGTTAATCGGAAAAAAAAGGGGGAAATCTGGAAATTTCGTATTTAGCTATATTGTGTTGTGTGTGTGAAACGTGACATTAATGGACGAATAACAGTTCTTTAATCGGAAAAGGAGGGTTAATTTGGAAAAAGGCTTCATTGTGTGTTGTGTGAATAGTGTTGATTAATTTTTTGATTGCATGGCGCTATGTAAAGTGAATTCTAAATTTTTAATGTATTTATCTGATATAATAATAATAGTGGTGAGATTGTTGTGAAAGAAAGGATATTACAAGTTTAAATGGTGGTGCAAGAAAGATGGTGAAAATGGACATTTTGTGAAAAGGAGTGTAAGGAAGGGTACGTGGTTGCTTGAAAAGTAGTTTGAGTATAGGTGAAATTTTATTAATTTCTTATTACTTAGTGAGATAGACTTCCAGTTGACTACTGATTTTAGGATTTAGAAATTAGCAGTAGTACTGCAGCGACGTAATGAAGATTCTGAAGAAGATTAGGTAAGTTAGTATTTTTAATCATTTGAGGATATTATTTTTTGCATTGTTCTAAATGTGAGGAGTAAATAAATTAAAATGGTATTATTTGAAAATTGTTATTAGCAATGATTTAATTAAAGTAATTAGGATTGTAATCGAATTTTTATTAATTTTAATGTATGTGCTTATTTATATTTAAGTAGTGTTTTTTAATTTAATATATTTAATTAATGATCGTGATTTTGTGAGTTATATGTTTGTAGTATTTTGGAATATGTTCGAGTAGTATAGGTTGAGTATTTTCATGAAATTTTTCTAATTTATGAGAAAAAAGCAGTGTACATGGATATAGTGAACAGTGTGCGCAATGCCATTTTTGTGCAATTCTGGGATATTTTTTTTAAGTAAAAATAACTCGACGTGTACATAGTTTAGTGATATTTTAATTAAATGATAGTTATTTTGTGAATTTTATGTTTGTAGGAATTTTGTATATGTTTCAGTTGAAGTAAACGTGCATGGAAATAATTTAAATATTTGACACTAAGTATTTGTAATGCTTGCGGTATGAATTCGTTGGTGACGTTTATAAATAATAGATAATTTAGAGGTTAAAGTTTTTGGATATTTTATTTATTTTATACGTGGAAATGTTCAATTTTAAGGGTATAACTTTTTTGCGATTAAGGTAATTTCATATATGTTCTTTTTACAGTTTAAAGATTCAGAAAATGTTCATGCATTTTCATGAAAATTTTTCTAATTTATTAGAAAAACAGGTGTATTGGATAGTGAGGAGAGTGTTGCGCAATGCCATTTGTGCAATTATGGATTTTTTTTTTAAGTAAAAATAAGCGACGTGTACATGGTGTATGTGTTATTGTGAAAAACGTGCAAGGATTTTGCGATTGTGCACTTTTCCAAATTTCGCAGTGAATTTGACTATTTGTAAGCAGTTTTGTAGATAAAAGTCTAGTTAAGTGTTAATTGGCTAGTAGATGTGTTGAAAAAGTGTTCAGTAAATAAAAGAAAAGAAACATGTCTTACTTCGTGAAGACAAATGGGCGGAAAAAAAAAAAAATAAAAAAAATTTGTAGCAGAGTGGTTGCCCAAAAAAAATCGCAAGTTACATAATCCAAAGATCAAAAAGAAACTTGTGTTAACCTCTTATACACGTTGCTTATTAATATTACTGAGGAATTGCCTTGCTGAGTTGAGTCTTTAATTTGCTTTAAGTCCTTCTGAGCCCGTGCAAGTTGTATTTTTTTGACATCGTATTTTACTGTTAGCATGAAAACGACAGAAATGATTGAATAGGTAATAAATTGAAGAAATAAATATTATCTTATTATTGCCAAAATAAATAACATGATATGGCATTCAATATAAGTAAAAGTCTTATATACTTGAGATGGAAATGCAATGATATATTTCATTTATAGAAAAATTTTAAATTATTATTTAATATATAGTTAAATTTGAAGCTAATTTTTAAATTCATCAAAGACAAGTATAGACAATAAAAAAAGGAAAATACCTTAGTAAAAAAAAAAGTTTTAGCATTACTTCTGCAAGGAAATTACTTTTGTTACAAAAAGCACTTTAAACAACTTTAATGTTTTTATTTATTTAAAAATTATAAATAAAAGAAAATAAGGAAGGGAAATCACTATTGTTCTCCCGTCCATAGGTTCCCTTGTCTTCCTTTTCGTCATCAGATTAATTCTTGAAGAATCCGAGCAAATCAGCAGTGCAATATTTTTTGCCATGAAAACCGATAAAAATTTTAGAGCAATGTTTCAAATTAATATACGGCAATTCACAAAAATGACAAAATATTTGAGAAAAAAAATTTTTCCGAATTTAAAAACGACTGTGCGCCGTCGTAACTTTAGAAAAAGCTTCCTAGCACAAAGCCAGTTAAAAAAAAAAAAGATAAATAACTTCTTGTTGGCACATTCCATGATGTGCGGAAGGGTAGAAAGGAGGAATAGAAATTCCCTCCTATCCGCTCTCTCAATATGCGAAAAACGTGCATTAAAAACTGAATTTATCATAAATTTTGCATGTACACACGTGCTGGAAGGTTAACTTAATTATAATGATCTATATAATGCAAATATATTTCCGTTCAAAGAAGATATAAGAAAAATTATAAGGTATATTCATGTCCTATGTAAAAACAAGGGCATTCCCGCACAATAATATCTGAATTTGAATATAAATTAGAGCCAGCTAATGAAATAAGTATACATGAAATGTAAATTGATAAAAATTAAGAAACTATTAGAAGCATTTATGCTTTTTATTTTAATTTAATTAATTTAAATTTAAAGTATTGAGGAGAGAATATAACTTTTTTTTTTTTTTTTTTACTTCATTTTGAAGTAAAGCAAATGATACTAAATATGATTAATTATTAGCAAAATAATGTATTTTTTAAGCTTAAAAAAAGAATAGAAAAGAAATTACAAAACTTATAATATATACCAAACCTTTCACTCCAGGATAAGACTTATAAATTACATTATATAATAATGCTCATTATATGAAATTTTAGGAAAAAGGTCTAAACTAAAAGTCCCCTGTTGACAGGTTTTTTATTATTATTTCTTAAATCTAAGTGGAATAAGTTACATTATGCTGATAAAATTAATAAGTAAAATTAAGTTTACTTACATTATAGGATAGCAATACAAATTACATTTTTAACTAGATAAAACTTCATACGTAATTCTGAGCATTTTAGTTTCAACTTACTGCATGATGACATAAGAGTAAACTAATTTAAATAATTTGTATTAATATATTGAAGACATATAGATATATGAGTATCACAAAAAAAATAATAATAATGAATGCTTCTCGTTGCAGCAAAATGAAAACACTCATTTTAAATTATTTTCGCATGCCTTCTCAATTCAACAACAGCCACAATATTTTTCTTTATAAATATGCTTTGAACAAAGATATAAAAACAGTTTCATGGACTGAAATCTTTTATCGGAAATAAAATATATGTAATATACAGATGAATCTGTAAACATATAGACATATATATGCAAACATACAGATAAATTTGAGATAAAATTTATTCATTAGGGCTTATATTAATATAAACTATTTAATCCAAAATATTTTTAAATTAACCAACACTTACAATTTAGTAATTAACAGGTCTGTCACCGATTCTTCATATCGCGTTTCTTTGAAATCGCAGGATTGCTAAAAAGATTTCAAATTCATCCACATTAGTCAAGCTGATTCTGATTGGTCCAAATATTATAGCCTCAGACAAAGGAATTTATTTTTCCCCAACTTTCCTAGGACACAAAATCCCCTAAAAATTTGAGCGCAATTATACTTTTATAAATAATTATTCTTAATGTCTGAATTCTTAAAATTTATTCAAATAATAACAAATGAAAATTATTTGAAGAAACAACGGTTCAACTCATCCTTTTTGGATATGTTGCTAAGTAACAAACACATGTTTCAAAAAAGTATTTAGGGATGCACGTAATTTTTTTTTTTTTTTTGTAATTTTTTTCGTCAAAGCATCTTTTGAAAATGGAAAATTGAATGATGAGCATTCAACGACAGAACATTTATTTTAGTGCGAATGGCAACATAGACTTTCGCGCCTATTTCACTGGAGACGATTTGGGTTATTGGTTATGACGTTCGATGTATTAACGTAGTTGTTTAAAGATTCGAATAATTCTAAGTTATTAAGTTTTATGCATGTTGTGAACTGTACTAACTGAAGTCTTGGCGTATTTGTTTCATCATTTCAAAATGTCTGGAGTCAAAAGAAAAATCTCTGATGGTTATTTAGAACAGTATGTGTGTAATGCAAATGAAGTCATTAGCTTTAAATTTGTACTAAGCAAAGAAGATTTGAATGATGAATCCGATTGTTTCAAACCAGAGTTTACACATCAGTTCTTTGGCGATAGTGAAAATATTTTTGGCTATATAGGATTGCATATTAATTTTTATTATTCGGCCTGTAGATTATTACCTTATTTTGGAATGACATACAGAGAAAAAATCAAACCTTCCAGAAGTGGTGGTGTTGAAGCTGATAATGTTTATCAAATTATATGTGACAAGCTTGAGTTGCAACCTACAAGAGATTTAGATTCGTTTGTATCTTCCCTCAACAAAGAATCTTCATTCAAACCTTATGGGAAAATGCTGAGCTCTTTCACATTAGAAAATGAAGTTAAAGAAGAGTATGGAATTTATCATGCCGATATTACCACTGTTGGTTTTAAAGAATATCATCAAAATATGCAAACTCTGATCCTGTGGTTTATAGATGCTGCATCTTACATTGATGATGAAGATGAGAGATGGGACTATTTTGTATTACATGAACATATTAATGATAATGGTGGATTATATCCTTTTGTTGGGTATGCCACAGTATATCGATATTATGCATATCCCCAGAAAACTCGACCTAGAATAAGCCAGATGCTGATTTTACCACCATTTCAGAAAAAGGGCCTTGGATCAAAGCTGTTGGAAGCTATATACGATTACTACATAAAAGATTCCGAGGTTCTAGACATTACAGTTGAAGATCCTTCCGAAGATTTTGTAAAAATCAGAGATTTTGTAGATTGTAAAAATTGTCAGACACTTCCTAGCTTTAGTGAGGAAAATTTAAGAAAGGGTTTCTCACAAGATATGGCTGAAGATGCAAGAGAAAAATTCAAAATCAACAGAAAACAAGCTAGGCGAATTTATGAAATTCTTCGCCTCCGTTGCACTGATATTACAAATAAAAAAGATTACAAAGCATATAGGTTAGATGTAAAAAATCGTTTAAATGCCCCACATCAACGAGAAAAACTGGATATGGAAAAATTACAAAGAAATTTGTCACCTGAGGAATTGAAAGCTGCTGCTAATCCAATCCCTCGAGAACAGAGATTTGAACAGTTAGATCACATGTATAGAGAACTTGAGGAAAAGTATAAGCATGTTCTTGAAAGACTGAATGAATTGTAATTTTTTTTTTTTTTTTTTTTTTTTTTTTTATTTTTCAGGTTAAATATTTTATCAGATTTTTAAATAGCTCCTAACTTTTTTTTTTTTTTTTTCCCTAAGTATGTTTGCATTTTATCATGTTATTTCAGCTGTGTTGTTATTTAAAACTAGTTAGATTACTGTTTGTAAAAGCCTACTAATGTTTTTGATGTATTTTTTTATCATACAGAAATTCTATCTATCCATTATTATCTAAATGAATAGTTAATCAGTGTAATATTTTTAAATGGAGTGTGATGATAGCAGAAGTTTTGAAGTGTTATGTTAAAATTTATGATGAATTACGAACAGAAAAATGCCTCAGTGATAAGTCAGGTATCTTTAATTATAAAATTTGGCTGTTAGACAAATGAAAAGGGAACTGTGTTGAGGAAAAAAGTGTCCTTTTAATCTTTTAGTATTTGATTTCTAATATCTGATTACTTATTCTATTTTTATTGTAGTTAGTTATTCAGTAACTGTAACATATTTAAATTAAAGATTGGTATTTTATTTCCTATTTTTTCTGATTATTTTCAGTGTGTTGACTGTTGAATTAAACTAATAAGTTACCAGGTAAATGTTTCGTTGGAAATTATTTTTGATTAAAATGAAGATTTGAGCTAGTAATATTTCATCAAATGTATGATGTAATGGAAAATAAACTATTTAGGCCTAAAGAAATTTAGCATGTTTAACAGTTATTTATCTTTAAAAAATTAATATGTTTTCATTGTGTTCGCATGTAGGTTTTCAAGCTTTTTAAATCCACAGGTTTCTTGACCAATTATATTCATTTCAAATTTGCCTTATAATAATACATCTTAAGAACTGTATTGTTTGTTACAATGGCCACCCATAATGGTGACTAAAGCAAAAAGTACCAAATGTTTCCTCATTTATGCTGTTATATATATAATCCATTTATGGTCAGGCCATAATATTTGTTCCAGTTCAGTGTCCAAATTCATCTCTAACAATTTTCTGGAAATCATCATCTAAACCAGGGTTTCTTAAACTTTTTTGTGTGGGGGCCCCATAATATTTACGAAACTTTTGTGGGACCCAATAAGCATTGTGAAAATCCCACGCACACGTGAATGAAACTCAGTTTCATCACTTGTGCTGTAATATACTATTGGAGTTTTAGTTCGTCAACTTTAAGATATGAAACAAAGCAAAAATTTTGGGAAAAGCGCGGAATCACTCACTACTTCACGCGTTTAGCAAAATAGCCAACTCGAAAATAACAAATCAAAGAATTGCACAAACTTGGTATCCATATACACATCGACCTACTTTAAAAAAAAAAAAAATCAGAGAATTGCACATACCCTTAACTTTGTCCATGTACACATCGATACGTGCCATATAAGTGGCCGATTCTGCATCAACTTAAAATAATAAGTCACAGAATTGCACAAATCCAGTATCTATTTTCACTTAAAAAACAACAGAGTATACCACGAACTTGGCATTGCACACATCCTTGATTTTTGTCCATGTACCCATTGATATGTGCCATATAATTTGATGATTCTGCACTTTACCCAAATTTTTAAAAGTAACAACTGTAAAAATAAATTCAAACATTAACTATACAGTCCATTAAGTGTAGCGAGGATACTCAGATAATTGGCACTTGTCGAGGTTCCTGAAATCGTGTTCGCCAACTTGGACAGTGGGAAGAGTGTTTAGGTTGCTAGTCCAGACGTTAACTAAGATAGGGAAAAGAAAAGGGATATTTTCTTTCTATATGGTTAATACTTTGCAGATAATTGTGCTGATGATCACATGGCTTTGTCAGTAGACGTTTTGAATTCGCTGTTATTATTTTCTAAAATTAATTACACTTGTAATTAGAGTAAGAAAATTTGGATTATGGTAACTTGGCGATTTTTTAGCGATCAACCCCGCTACAGCAACCTGTTAGTTTTTGTTTTCACGAAGTAAAGGCATTTTTTTTTTTTTAACTCAACATTTCTTTTCAACAATCTGCTAGTCGAATTACGCTTATGGTAGAACTTTTATGGTATAAAAGTGCTTAATCATGACGAAGATTAGGTGCGAAATTGGGAGAAAGTTCAGAATCGCCCACTGCTTGCGGCGTTTTTAAGAATTGCACATACACGGTATCATCTGTGTACATGTCGACCTATTTTCACTTAAAAATCGCAGAATTATACAAAAATGGCATTGCGCACACTCTTGACTTTATCCATGTACACTGCTAAAGTCCTAGCTAGTAACATTTATCGCCTTACGAAAATGTCGCCAAACTACCTGTTACCATATTCCAAAGATTAGCCGAAAATTTTATTTTTGTACAAGAAAATTGCAAAATATGCTCCTTTTCTAGATTGAGTAATACAGTACAACAAAGTTCGTAATCTGGACTCGTCAGGACTTCCGGATTATAAATTATCAATTTAAATGTGGTAAGGTAGCATGCAGAAATTATACAATTCAAAATATGAAACCGTAATTTATGAAATAAAGAGCAGTTATGATCTAAAGGGTATCAAAATTTACAAAAAAAAAAAAAAAAAAGCTTAATATTTATTTGTTTACTTTATTAAACATTTCTTTCAGTTTAAGTTGCTTTGTTTTTTGTGCTAATGCTTTCTCTTTAATTCTATAAACAGACATAATTTCTTGTTCAGTTACAAAGTTCCACTGTTTAAGTGCTGTAATGAGAATACCGACTAACTTGTCAATCGAAATTTTTTTGTTTTCAATGACTTCTCTGTCACTTTCTTCACTATCAGAAGCTGTATTTTCTGGATCTAGAACCATAGTAAAGATTTTGCCGTCCGTTAATTGATTGATAATTGTAACATTGTCGTTGTAATGAAAAACTTCTGTTATATCATCTTCATTTATTACCGCTTCTCCACGTTTCTTTCCAAAATCCAATATCTGGAAAATTTCACCTTTAATTTGCGATGTCCGAAAACCTTCAAATTCGTGGCTATCATCTTCATCGTCCTCACATGAAATATGGTAGCTGGGTATAAATTATGCCAAGCATTTTTTAACGTATCTGGAGACACATCCTCCCACGATCTTGCGATACTCCACACAGCAGCAGATTTTATGCTAAAAATTTCAAAAAGTCTTGAATAATATTGCCATTGTTCAAGAAATTTAACTTAGATTTTAAAAGTGCTACTTTATATTTGCATTTAAGCGTGTGCACTATTCCCATATTCATAGGCTGAATGATAGATGTACATTTTAGAAAGAAGAATAATACGGATGCATTATCTTTAGCTAAAACTTTAAGTGAAGTATGCGTCAAACAGTTGTCAACAATCAGGACTATTTTTGAGTCACCAGGTAAACCAATCGAATTCGAATTTCGCCAAGCCTCGGTTATAAAATGATTTTCAAACTAATCATTCATCAACGCTTGTGTCATCCATGCTCTTTTATTTGCGCGATATATATAACGAGGAAAATTGTTTCTCCTTTAAATACTCGAGCTCGTGCATGCTTTCCGATTACGAAAAGTTGGCACTTGTGCGTTCCTACAACATTTGCACTTGCTAAAATTGTTAGTCTTGCTTTGGAATCTTTGACACCAGTTGGAGCCTTTTCTGTAGAAGTTGCCAAGATGTTTCGCGGTACATATTGCCAGAAAAGACCAGTTTCATCAACGTTGTAAATTTGTTTACTGGTAATGAGTTCAATGTATTCATCTGCAAATTGTTCAGCAGCTGAAGCTTTTTCACCTGAAATTTTTAATTGTCTTATACCATGGCGATTTTTAAATTTGGATAATCAATTTGTTGAATATGTTCACTCGATGTTTAAGTTCATTTCTTCAGGAAATATTTTGGCTTAAGCCATTAGCATTGGACCCGTCGATGCCACACCCTCACTGCAGCGCTGTTTAACTCATTCAATCATCACTTTGTCATGATCGTCACTTTTAGCATAACAAACCCTTTTTCTGTTATTCATTGCAAGTAGGGTGTAAGAATCCACAAAAAGTTCCTATTTCTTTTTGCTTATGTCTTATACAGTTGACTTTCCAATGTCATACTCTTCGCATAATTTTGAGACGGATATGCCTTTATCCATCTTTTGCAGCCATTCCACTTTTTGTTTGATGGACATCGAAATGTGCTTTCGCTTTGTAGATCCTTTGGCAGCTCCAGAATTGGAAATTCTTTTTGACATAATCGAAAGTTAAAGCTTAATTTTTATAAAATTGCTCTAACAGTCTGCAAAAAAATAATAAGCCGGATCCAATTAGAAGATTAAGGAACAGCGCAATCTGCAACGTTAACTGAAATGCCTTAGAATGAGAAAAATAATTTTAACCTAGTTTATACCGTCCATTATACATTAAACGCATTACGTGCATGTAACCCCCCCCCCAAGAAAAAAAAGTTTGTGGCTTTGAGGTCTGGATTATAGGTCATTACGGATTACGGACTTTGTACTATAGAAGGAAAATAATTAGAAATTAATTTCGTTGATCTTTGGATTATGGTAACTTGGCAATTTTTTGGCGACCAAACTCTGCTGCAGCAACCCTCCACTATTTTTTTTTCGCCGCCGTTTTGTCTTCAACGAAATAAAGATATGTTTCTTTTCTTTTTATTTACTCAACACTTTTTACAACAATCTACTAGCCGAATTACACTTATGCTAGAAATTTTATGTAACAAAACTGCTTAATCGTGACAAATATTAATTGCAAAATTGGGAAAAAGTGCACAATCGCAAACTCCTTGCGCGTTTTTCAGAATAGCACATACACATAAACCATTTACACGTCGACTTATTTTTACTTAAAAAAAATCCCAGAATTGCACACACTCTTAACTTTATCCATCTACACTGCTATTTTCTCATAAATTACAAAAATTTGCAGGAAAATTTTCTTAATCTTTAAACTCAGTTTTTACTGAGTTTAAAGCACAGATATGAAATTACCTGATCACGAAAAAGTATATACCCTTTCCAAGGATGCACGTTTCCGCGTAGTCAAACAGTTTGGTGTCAAACATTTAAATTATTTCCATACACATTTACTTCAACTGAAACGTATACCAAATTCATACAAACATAAAATTAAACAAAATAACTATCATTTAATTAAAATATCACTAAACCATGTACACTTCGACTTATTTTTACTTAAAAAAAATCCCAGAATTGCACAAAAATGACATTGCGCACACTCTTCACTATATCCATGTACACTGCTTTGTCATAAATTAGAAAAATTTCATGAAAATACTAAACGTATACTACTCAAACGTATTCCAAAATACTACAAACATATAACTCACAAAATCACGATCATTAAATTAAAAAACACTACTTAAAATATAAATAAGCACATACATTAAATTAATAAAAATTAGATTACAATCCTAATTACTTTAAACTAAATCATTGCTAATAACAATTTTCCAATAATACCATTTTAATTTATTTACTCCTTACATTTAGAACGATGCATAAAAAATAATATCCTCAAATGATTAAAAATACTAACTTACCTAATATTTTTCAGAATCTTCATTATGTGGCACGCGCACTTCCCTACAGAAAGAGTTCCAATCGGCTGCAGTACTACTGGTAATTTCTAAATCCGAAATCCAGTAGCCAACTTATTATTAATTATTACGTATTAAAAATTTAGAATTCACTTTACATAGCGCCAT